ACCGGCGCACGGGATACCTCAAGGTGCCCTGGGGGGCTCAGGGTTAGGACTGGGAGGGGTTTGGGGGGGACCCCCCAGCTCCATTTTGGCTTGTGGGAGGGTTGAATTGATCCGATGGAGTCCGGGCTCGGAGGTCCTGTGGGATCACCCCAAAAGTGAGCTGATTTTTGGGGTCACGGGGTCCCTGCACCCCAAACCTGAACCGGGGGTTCCCGCCATGCCTGGGCTCGTTCCCGGTGCCATTCTCATTCCAGATCCCAATCCCAGGGTGTCTGGGGGTTCCTGCACCCCAAACCTGAGCCAGGGGTTCCCGGGCTCATTCCCAGTGCCATTCCCATTCCAGATCCCAATCCCAAGGTGTCAGGGGGTCCCTGCACCCCAAACCTGAGCCAGGGGTTCCCGGGCTCATTCTCAGTGACATTCCCAGTGCCATTCCCATTCCAGATCCCAGTCCTGGGGTGTTGGGGGGTCCCTGCCCCCCAAACCTGAGCTGGGGCTTCCCACCATGCCTGGGCTGATTCCCATTCCAATTCCGGATCCCAATCCCAGGGTGTTGGGGGGTCCCTGCACCCCAAACCTGAGCCGGGGGTTCCTGCCCTGCCCAGGCTGATTCCCAGTGCCATTCCCATTCCAGATCCCAATCCCGGGGTGTTTGGGGGTCCCTGCCCCCCAAACCTGAGCCGGGGGTTCCAGCTGTGCCCAAGCTCCTTCCCATTCCCAGGGTGTCAGGGGGTCCCTGCCCCCCAAACCTGAGCCAGGGATTCCTGGGTTCATTCCCAGTGCCATTCCCAACGCCGTTCCCGATCCCTCCCCAGGGCTACACGCTGGTGGAGTACGAGACGTACAAGGAGGCGCAGGCGGCCATGGAGGGGCTGAACGGGCAGGAGCTCATGGGGCAGCCGGTCAGCGTCGACTGGTGCTTCGTCAGGGGCCCCCCCAAGGGCAAGCGGAGGTGAGGGACGGGAATTCCGGGAGCTGGGAGCGGGAGGGACCTCCGGGAGCATCGGAACCCCCCGCTGGGGGGAACGGGGGCCGTTCCGTGTGCCGTCACGGGGAGGGACTGGGGTTAAAATAGGGATAAATGTGCCAAAATGCTTTCTCTCCCCTTGATCCCCTTTTCCCTCATCCTCTTTTCCTCTTTGCCTTTTCCCTTTCCTCCCACCTATTCCCTGTTTTCCAGGGGTGGGCGCCGGAGGAGCCGCAGTCCGGACCGGCGCCGTCGGTGATGGATCCAGGATTCCACCTGTCCATGTTCCGAGTCCAAACTGGGCGAAACTGGGAAAACTGGGGGGGGGTTTGGACACAGGTCTGAGGAGCCAAACCGGCTCCATCCCTTGGGAAATCGGGGTTTTGCGGAATTTTATTGTTTTCAAAGGACAGACGTGAGGGGAGCAGCAGCAGCCCCCGAGGGTTGGGGGTGTTTCCCTCAGGTTTGGGGGGGATCCCTCCCAGCCCCCCATCCCAGCACATCCCAGGAGTTTTTTCCCTACCCCAGGCAAACGTTCCCTTGATCTCCCATGGGATTTATCCCACTGGGAAACCCTTATTTTCTGTTAAATAACAGTTTTTGTGTAAATTTGGCTTCTTGTTCTTTGTGTTTCATTAAACCCCCTCTAGCCCCTCCCTTGCCCCTTTCCCTAAAATCCCTCCCCGTCCCAGCTGCTGGATCCCCGGGGATCCCTCCCAGCCTGGCAGGAGAACGACTTGGGCCTTGGAAAAGCCTTTTTTTTTCCCCCTTAAAACTTGGCATTGGGAAGTGACAGCTTTGGGGGGAACCCAGGGGACTTCCCATGTCCAGCTGCTCCCCCCTCCAGATGTGCCAGTCCCCAAACCCCCCAGATGTGCCCCCCCCTCCACACTCGGAGCCGCTGAGCTGCATGGGGGCCTTTATTGAAGGACACCACCCCCCAAAAATGGGGACCCCCCCGGGAAGGGGGGCCGGGGGGGGGGGTGGGGAGCTGTGCAGACCCCCAGCCGTGGGTTTAAGGGGAAAAGCTGCCGGGAGGATGAGGAGGGAGCAGGAGGAAGCTGCAGGGAAAAGCCACCGACTCCCGAGGGAATCGGGGGGGTCGTGCCGAGTTTGTGCCGACGGCGATGGAGGGGCCACGAGCCCTGGGTGGGTTCAGAGCGAAAGGGGCCCGGGGGGGGGGGTCCCGGAGGACGCTGAGGGGGGTCCCTGGGGGTCTCTAAGAGCCGGGCTCGGGGCCCAGGGCGCTGCGGAAGGCGACGAGCTCCGGCTGCATGGAATGGCGGCGGCGCAGCAGGGCCCGGGGGGGGCCGGGGGGCAGCGGGGGCAGCAGCCCGGCCCTGCCCGACCCGGGGGGCTCCAGGGACAGCGTTCCGGAGCCACGGCGCTCCAACAGCCCGCCCGGGCGCCAGAGTGGCCCGGGGGGAGCCGCCTCGGGGTCGAGGGGGTCCCGGCACAGGGGTTTGCCCCGCGGAGGGTCGGGGGCCTGAGGCCGACGCGCCGGGGGGGCCACGGGGGGCACCCGCTCGGCCCAGGCGGGCCCCGGCAGCCCCGAGGCCTCGCGCCCCTCCATGCTGTGCCGGCGCGGGCGCAGCCCCAGCCCCTCCAGCCCCCCCGCCGGCCGCTCCAGGGCGGCCCACGTCCCTTCCAGGGCTCCTCGTGGCCCCTCTGGGGAACCCCATGACCCTTCCGAAGGGCCCCGCGTCCCCTCCAAGGACCCCCACGTCCCTTCCAGGCTTCCCCGTGTCGTCCCCTCCACCCCCGGCACCGCCAGCCCCCAGGGCTCCGAATTGAGCCTCTTCAGCTGCCTCTTGGGCCCGGCCCGCGATGGTTCCGGAGCGGCGGCCGGAGCCGCCGGCGGGAAGCGGAACACATCCCGCTCCTCATCCCTCCCGCCCGCGCCCGGCGACGCCGCCGACGCCGCCCGCACCTCCACCTGGGAGGGGGAGGCGCAGAGCGCGGGCGACGGCGGCGAGTTCAGGTACTGGCGGGTGGTCTTGGTGCCGCGGGGCGACGTGGCCGAGGTGATGATGATGACGTCGCGGCCGCGCTCCCGGCACGCGTCCAGCAGCACCTGCAGCGTCTCCCGGTCCCCGCGCTCCAGCGCGTAAACCAGCGCCGAGCCGCCGGCGTAGTCCCGGGCGCTGGGGTCGGCGCCGTGGGCCAGCAGGACGGCGGCCACGGCCGGGCCGGCGCGCTCGGCACAGGCGTGCATCAGCGCCGTCTTCCCGGCCTTGTCGGGAATGTTGGGATCGGCGCCGTTTTCCAGAAGGTACCGCACCATGCGCGGCTGCTCCGGCGGGTCGGCGTAGCCGGCGCGGCACGCGGCCATCAGCGGCGTCGTGCCCGCGGCGTTGCCCTCGTTGATGTAGGCTCCCCCTTCCAGCAGCAGCCGGGTCAGGCGGAATTTCCCTTGGGATACGGCGCGCAGCAGCGCCGAGCCCTCCGCCGGGATCATGGCGAGCCCCGGTGCCAGCGCGGCGCCGGGGGGGCGGCGCACGGGGCTGGGCATGGCCGGGCTCACGGGCCGGGGCGCGGGGACAGGGGTGGCACCCGCTCACTGCAAGGGGAGATGGTGCGGGGTGAGACCCCCCACGAGCCCCCCTGGGATGAGCACGGGGTGAGACCCTGGAACCCCCCGGGAAGAGCATGGGTGAGACCCCCCCCACCCTGAATCCCTCGTGATAAGCACAGGGTGAGACCCCCTCCAAATCCCCTGAAATGGGCACAAGGTGAGACCCCCCTGAACCCCTCAGGGTGGGCAAAAGGTGAGACCCCGGAGCCCCCTGGGTGGGCACACGATGAGACCCTGCCTCAGTTTCCCCAGCAAAGGAAGGTTCCCGCGGTGCTGAGCCCCCTGGCTTGTGTCCCCCTTCCACGTCCCCCCTGCCTGTACCCCCAGCCCTTGCCTGCACCCCCAACCCTCCCCTGCCACCAGCTCCTCTCACTCCCCATATCCCTTCCTGCACCCCTCTTCGTTCTCCTCATCCTCCTGCCTGTGCCCCCCCTGCATCCCCTGCCCCTACCCCCATCCTGCCCCTACCCCCATCCTGCCGGTCCCCCCGTCCCTGCCTGTACCCCCATCCATGCCGGTACCCCGATCCCTGCCCTCGCGGTTCCCATGGCGATGGCGGCTCATCCCGCTCCTCCACTCCGTCCAGCCGGGAAAATGGGGGAGAATCCACCGCCCTCCCAGTCCCCTCAGCAAGACACCCCCGAGCCCGGGCCTGGGGCCTGCCCCGTGCCCCCCGGGCAGGGGGGACACCCCACAGCGGGGGCCCTCCATCCTTCCCTTCTCCCCCCTCCATCCCCCCGTTACCGTGGCAACCGGAGCGTGGGGTCCCTCCGCTCCGGGTCCCGGTCCCCGCAGCCCTGGGGATGGGAGTGTCGGGGACAGCGGCCCGTGGCCGCCATCCCGGCCCGCCGCCGGTGCGGGGGGGCCGGGAGGTGATGTGGAGGGTCCCCCCCCCTCCCGCAGCGCTATTTTTGGCAGTTGCCGGCGCGGGGGGGGGGCTGGAGCGGGATGAATCACCCACGGCGCAGTCAGCGCCCGGTGCCCGGCCCTGCGTGGGGACGAGGAGGGTCTCGGGGGGCCGGGGGGCACAAGAGGCTGGCGGGGGGCCCGTGGGGCCGGGGGCCGTGGGGCAGCGGGGCTGGGGGCCATGAAGCATCGGAGATTCGGGGAGTTGTGGGGCAGCGGGGCTGGGGGCACAGCACAGTGGGGCTGGGGGTCACATCACAGTGGGACTGGGGCCGTAGGGCAGCGGGACTGGGGGTCCCAAAACAGTGGGGCTGGGGGGCAGAGCACAGTGGAACTGGGGCCGTGCGGGACTGGGGATCACCGAGGCCCCAGTACCGGGGGGGCTGAGCTGTCCCAGGGCACAGGGGCTGGGGGGGATCCGGGGGTGGGGGCCCAGGGGCCTCTTCGCCCCCTTTTTCCCCCTCCCCGTCCATCCCTCGGGCCCGTCCGGCCGCCCCCTCCCCATTCATCCACCGGCCCCGCCCCTCGCCCCGCCCCTCGGGATCACCCGCCAATCAGCGCAGGGCTAGAGGCCAAGCCCCGCCCCTTCCGCGCGGGGCGGAGCCGCGGAAGCCCCGGACACACGTGGAGCGACTGCGCGTGCGCGGGGTGAGAGCGGGACCGGGACCGGGACCGGGACCGGGAATGGGGATGGACAGTGGGGGGACACCGGGACTGGGACCGGGAATAGGGATAGGGAGTGGGGGGACACCGAGACTGGGAATGGGGATGGGGATAGGGAGTGGGGGGACACCGGGACTGGGACCGGGAATAGGGATAGGGAGTGGGGGGACACCGAGACTGGGAAGGGGGATGGGGATAGGGGGTGAGGGGACACCGGGACCGGGGGGGCACCGGGAGGGACCGGGAATGGGGACGCTGGGACCGGGAGGGACCACGACGGGGGAGAATCGGGACCAGGGCGGGCACCGGGACCGGAGGAGCGACCGTGACCGGACCGAGGGGAGAAACAGGCTGGGGAGCGGGACAGGACGGGGACGGGGAGCGGGACCGGGGGGGACACCGGGAGTGGAGGCCGGGCCGGGGGTGTCACTGTGCCCCCCTGTCTCCCCCAGCGCCCCCCCGGGCCCAGGATGGCGGGCCGGGGTCGGGGCCGGGGCCGGGGGCAGATGACATTCAACGTGGAGGCCGTGGGGATCGGGAAGGGGGACGCGCTGCCCCCGCCCACGCTGCAGCCCTCCCCTCTCTTCCCGGTGAGTCTGAGCACTGACACACTCATCACACCTTCCCCTCCCTTCCCTCCCCCCTTCAATCCAGGCCCTGGGGCACCAGACGGGTCCATGGGGGGGGGCTGAGCACTGACAAACTCATCACACCCATGACACACCCCCTGCTCCTTCCCCAATCCAGGTCCCGGGTTTATGGGAAGGCTTAAGCACTGACACACTCATCACCCCCGTGCCCCCCCCAGGCCCTGAAGCACTGGGGGGGATTTTTGGGGGGCAGCTGAGCACTGACACACTCATCACCCCCGTGCCCCCCCCAGGCCCTGGAGCACCGCGCCGCGCCCCTGCCGGGGGGGGAGGAGGGCGAGTACATGCTGGCACTGAAGCAGGAGCTGCGCAGGGCCATGAGGGGCCTCCCCTACTTCGTCAAACCGGGGGCTCCCCGCAGAGGTACCGGGAATTCGGGGGGAGGATCCTGAGCCTCCCGTACCCCCCCCCGTGAGGAGGAGGAGAGGTGGGAATTGGGGGGCAGAGAGGGGGCCTGTCCCTCTGTGTCACCCCCCAACCCCATCACACCCCACCACGTTGGGCCCCCCCACCCCATCTTCGCCATCTCGGGGGGGTTCCATGGGAGTCCCCAGGGCTGGGTGTCCTGTCCCCCCCCAGAGTGACCCCCCTGTTGCCCCCCCCAGACATCGAGCGCTACTCAGACAAGTACCAGCTCTCCAGCCCCGTGGACAGCGCCATCGACTGGAACCCAGGTGGGAGAACACGGGGGGGACCCGGGGAGGGGGTCACGGGGACGTGGGGGGACTCAGGGGGGGGCTGACCCCCCCACCCCACCCCAATTTTACCCCCCAGACTGGCGGCGGCTCCCGCGGGAGCTGAAGATCCGGGTGCGGCGGCTGCGGAAAGGCAGTGGGTGACCCCCCCCTCCTCCCCCCCTGTGCCCCCTGTGTCCTCCCCGGGGGGGTGACAGTCCCCTGTGCCCCCCCCAGAGGGTGACAGTCCCCTGTGCCCCCCCAGGGACTACCCCCCTCGTCCCCAAGCAGCGCGTCACGCCCGACAAGGAGGAGACCATTAAGAAGCTGGAGGTAACGAGGGGGGGGACGGACGGGACACCCCCCTGGCTGGATTTTGGGGGATGGGGGTGTGTGTGTGTCCCCTACCATGAACACCCCTCTGGCCCCCTCAGAGCCTGGAGAAGAAGGAGGAGGAGGTGACGTCGGAGGAGGAAGAGGAGAAGGAGGAGGAAGAAGAGGGCAAGGAGGAGGAGGAGGAGGAGTACGATGAGGAGGAGCACGAAGAGGTGAGCGGGGGGTGGGGGGGAGTGATGGGGGCACCTCGGGGGTGTTGGTGGGGTGGGGAAACCCTCAGGTGCCACCCTTTCCCCCCCCCAGGAGACCGACTACGTCCTGTCCTACTTCGACAACGGGGAGAGCTTCGGGCCCGACAGCGACGACAACGGGGACGAGGCCGTGTACTGACCCCGGGGACCCCCCCAGAGCGGGGACCCCCCCAGCCCCTGGGACCCCGGGGACCCCTGTCACCCCTCCTTGGGACATTGGGGTCCCCTGACACCCCCACCTCGGGATACAGGGGGTCCCCTGTCACCTGCCCCCCAGGCCACTGGGGTCTCCTTTCACCCCCCGCATTGGGACATCGGGGTCCTCTGTCACCCCCCCCTTCAAATCGGGGGTCCCCTGTCACCCCCCCAGGACACCAGTGCCCCCCATCACCCCCTCTGGGACATTGGGGTCCCCCATCACCCCATCTGGGACATTGGGGTCCCCCGCACCCCCACTGGGACATTGGGGTCCCCCATCACCCCCTCTGGGACATTGGGGTCCCCCATCACCCCCGCTGGGACACCAGTGCCCCCCATCACCCCCTCTGGGACATTGGGGTCCCCCGTCACCCCCGCTGGGACATTGGGGTCCCCCGTCACCCCCACTGGGACATTGGGGTCCCCTGTCACCCCCGCTGGGACATTGGGGTCCCCCATCACCCCCTCTGGGACATTGGGGTCCCCCATCACCCCCGCTGGGACTCCAGTGCCCCCCATCACCCCCTCTGGGACATTGGGGTCCCCCATCACCCCCGCTAGGACATTGGGGTCCTCCATCACCCCCACTGGGGCATTGGGGTCCCCCATCACCCCCGCTGGGACATTGGGGTCCCCCATCACCCCCACTGGGGCATTGGGGTCCCCCGTCACCCCCACTGGGACATTGGGGTCCCCCATCACCCCCACTGGGGCATTGGGGTCCCCCGTCACCCCTGCTAGGACATTGGGGTCCTCCATCACCCCCCCAGGACACCATTGCCCCCCATCACCCCCGCTGGGACATTGGGGTCCCCCATCACCCCCGCTGGGACATTGGGGTCCCCCGTCACCCCCGCTGGGACATTGGGGTCCCCCATCACCCCCGCTGGGACATTGGGGTCCCCCGTCACCCCCTCTGGGACATTGGGGTCCCCCGTCACCCCCCTTGGGGACACCCTGTCACTCCCCCCTCCCACCACCAGGTGGCACCGGGGCTCCGGGGAAGGGGGGAGGAGAGGGGCGAGACCCCCCAAATTTGGGACATTCCCCCCCCCCCCCCCCGGGGACTCCCCGTTTCCCCCAACCCCTTTGACAGCAGCTTTTTTTTTTCAAAACTTTTGTGCTGTTTTTTTTTTAAAAAAACACCATTTTTGGGTGGATTAAAGCGGATTTTGGCGTTTCCAGCTCCGCTCCGTGGGTTTGGGTTTTTGGTTTTTTTTTTGGGGGGGGGGGAGTTGGTGGGGAGGGGGGGCTCCTGGTTGAGAAAAGGGGTTTTTTTGGGGGGGTAAATGTGTACTTTTGTCGGTTTTAGGGGGAAAAGGTGTTTTCTGGGAGTGGAAAATGTGTTTTTTTGAGGAAGGAAAGACGGGGTGTTCGTGGGAAAAGGGTTTGGGGAGGGGGAGGTGTTTTTTTTTTGGGGGGGAAGGTGGTTTTCTGGGGGGGAAATGTTATGTTTTGGGGGAGAGAAAGGGTTTTTTTGGGGGGTAAAGTTGTTTTGTGGGGAGAGAAAGGTGTAATTTTTTTTTTGGAAAAGGTTTTTTTTAGGTGGAGAGGGAAATTTTTTGGGGGGGGGAAAAGGTCGATTTTTGAGGAGGAGGGAGAGGTGTATTTTGGAGATGGATTTTTGGGGGGAAAGGTGGGTTTCTTGGGGGGTAAAGTCAGTTATTTGAGGGGAAAGAAGTGTATTTCTGAGGGAAAAGAGTGTATTTTGGGGAGGGAAAGGGGTATTTCAGAGGGAGGAAAGTTGTGGGTTTCAGGGGGGGAGGTTATTTGTGGGGGGAGAAGGCGTATTTTTTAAAAAAGGCATTTTTTAGGGGTCAAGGTGGATTTTGGGGGAGGGAAAGGTGCTTTTCTCAGGGAGAAGTTGCTTTCAGAGGGAGGGAAGTTGTTTGGGGGGGGCAATTTTTTCCGGGGGGGGAGGCATTTTTGGGGGGGAGGTGGCTCTTTTGGGGGGGAGGTGGCTCTTTTGGGGGGGAGGTGGCTTTTTGGGGGGGGGAAAGGCATTTTTTTTTTTTTGAGGAGAAGTGGTTTTTGGGGAGGAAAGGGTGTTTTTTCGGGGGGAGGGAGGTTGTTTGTGCCTCGGGGTGGGGCAGGGGCCGCTCACATGAGCTTCACGTGCTGCCCCCCCCCCCCATCCCAGTTCCTGTTTGGGGCCGGTTTTCCCTCCCCCAGCCACGAATGTTCCAAAGCTTGTTGACTTCCAGCTGCTCCCTGTTTTTCTCTCTCCCCTTTTTCCTCCCCTCTCACCCCTTTTTCTCCCCCTTTCTTTCCCTCTTTCCCCTCCCCCCCCCCCCCAAGGTGCCCCCAGGGGTACGTGGCAATTCCAGGACTCCCAGAGCTTCCAGAGGGTGGGATCTGCCCCCCCCCCACCCCCTTGCCTGGTGGGGAGGTTCCCCAAATTCCCAAATCCCTTGGGATACATGTGTGTCCCCACCAGCCTCAGTGTCCCCCCCTCCCCGGATCCACTCGTGCTCCCACCCCCTTCCCATCCCATATTCCCACCCCATCCCATCCCATCCCTGGGGTGTCTCGCTGCCCCCCTCCCAGTGCTCCCAGTGCTCCCAGTTTATCCTGGGCCCTTTGGAAGTGCCGGGAGCCCCGGGCTGCCTTGAGGGGGGGGGGGGAGTTTGTCCCCAAACCATGGAGGGGTCCCCAACTATGGGGGTCCCCCCAAAACCATGGGGAGGGGGGCGAGGGTCCGGCTGCTTCCCCAAATCCATGTGGATCCTGCTCCAGAGCTGCTCCAGCGCAAAGTCCAGGCAGGCCAATGAGGGGAGGGGGAAGGTTTATGGCCTTAATTAGTTTAATTGGAGCTGTAAATTGGAGGGGGGGGGGGCAGGGTGACTGTGGGGTTCATTCATCCCCCCCCTCACATGCGGGAGTGGGATTTTGGGGGCGGGGGCTCCTCCTGGGCCTTTTCCAGGGGGGGAAAGACCACTTTGGAGGAGGGGGGGTTATTTTAGGGTCTCCAGGGGGGACTGGGGGCTTCTCCTTAATTTTGGGGGGGGCCTGGGCTGCCTCTGCCCCCGCAGTTCCCCCCCCAGCCCAGCCCATCCTGCCTATTCCTGGCCCGGAGCAGGGTGACCCTTCACCTGCTTGGCCCGGAGCCGGGAATGGCTCCGGCTCCGAAGGGAAACTGAGGCCTGGCCAGGAAAAAGGCTGGGGAGGGGCCAGCGGGGGAAGAACCGAGGCCTGGGGGGCTTTGGGGGGGCTCCAAGTGGGCGAGGGGGGAGGGAGCAGAGCCAAGGTCTTGGGGGGGCTCCAAGTGGGTGAGAGGGGAGGGAGCAGAGCCAAGGTCACGGCCCTCGTTCCTCAACACCGGCACCTTTCACCCACATCCCATAAAAAGAGCCGGAGCCGCAGAGGCTCCGACAGCAGCCCCGAAAAAGGTTGGAATATTCCCTCACCCCTGTGCCTCTGTTTCCCTTCCCTGTGCCCGTTTCCCTCCCCGTGCCTCCGTTTCCCCTCACCAGCCCCGCTTTTCTGCTCAGTTTTTCCCCCTGGAAAAACCACGAGACCCCCCCCCCCCTTCCCAAGGCTGCTCCCAGGAAAACCAGAGATCAGGAAAAGCAGGTCAATCCCACCCTCCCCCCGAGGTTTCTGCTGCCCCCCCAACCACCCCCTCCCCAGGAAGGACACGAGGTGGCAGCTCAGTTTCAACTCGTTTATTACAAATTTTGCCCCCCAGGGGCCACGAAAAGGTACAAAATCTGCATTTTTGTGCTTCCCCCCCTCCCTCCCCCCAAAAAAAACCAAACTATGGACAAAACCAAAGAGTAGAAAAGGCGTCAGTCGTGACAGCGGGGACGTGTCGCGACAGGACGGATCTGTGGTGTGACAGTGTCCCCCTCCCTCGGCCGGAGCAGCGCCCGGAGTTCGGGAATTAGGATGGAATTAGTTAGAGCTGAGTGTTTCCCGTCGCTGTGCGAGGGCAGCCGAGCTTTTCCAGCCCCTTTTTCCAGCCGGATCCGCCCTCATCTCTCTCCTCTGCCAGTCCACGAAGGCTCTCCGCCGGGCTCGGAGCGCCCGGGGCTTTTTTTCTGGAAGGTTCCAGCGCCACCGGAGCGGTGGCTCCTCTCAGGAACGCGGCCGTTCCCTGGGAATGTGGCAGTTCCTCGGGAGCAGGTGCCCTGCCGCGGGCGGGCGGCACACGGAGCCGAGTCCGGGATAAGCGGGAGCGAGCCGCCGGCCGCGGCGCTCACTGCACGTTGTTGTTGGCGACGCAGGGATCCACCTGGGCGACGGAGCAGGGGGCGGGTGAGGGAGCTGGCCCGGTGGTCCCGGGTCCACCCGGCCCATCCCGTGCCGGCGCCGCGCTCACCTCCGTGTAGGTGGGTGGGGGCATGAACTTGAACTCCGGCGCGTACATGAAGATGGGGCTGTCGAATCCGTCGGGATCATCCAGGAGCGGAGTGGTGGGGCTCTCCAGCCGGTGATCCTCGGGAACGATGTCCAGATAGCACGGGGGGGCTGTGGGAATGCAGGGAGACGTCCGTGAGCTCACCTGTGCACCCTCCTCTCCGAGCCCCTCGGGGTTTATCCCCACGCTGTGATCCCACCTTGTGGATCCCACCCCACTCACCCTCTGGAGCATCCGGGAGGTTCAGGTCGACCCAGCTCATCTCGGAACTGGTCTGACTGGCCATGCTGGAGCTGCGGCTCCCGATGCCCGAGCGGCTCCCAATGACCAGCGGCAGCTCCAGGATGATTTTCTTGGAGCCCGGGACGCTGACGTAGATCTGCAGGGGGAGAGCCGGGATTTAGGGGTGTTGGGACGGGATCGAGATCCCCAGGAGGAGGAGAAGGAGGAGGAGGAGGAGGAGGAGGAGGAGGAGGAGGAGGAGAGGATCCCCCACTCACCTGCAGGAAATACTCCACACGCAGGATGTTGCAGCCCAGGATGGAGGGTTTGAGCTTGCGCACGCGGATGGTTTTGCCGCGCCAGGACTCGGAGGTGCCCGAGATGATGTGGTTGCCACGGACACAGGAGAGTTTCTGGCAGAAGACCTTGGTCTGGCCGTTGGCCAGGTAGGTGTGCTTGGCCACAATGGCCGCCTTGGGCACCACGATGCGCGAGCACGTGTTCTCAAAGTCCGCGTTGATGCAGATCTCGTCGCCTGCCGAGGCAAGGACCCGGCGTTAGGGATGTCGGGGCTTTCCCCTGCTGGTCCCACACTCAACTCCCTCCCCCCATTCCCTGTTCCCAGCGATCCTCACCTTCACAGAAGCCTTTCCTGTCGATCTGGGCGCTGACAGACACGCGTCCGTCCGGGATGAACATACAAGACACTTTCTTCTCCTTCTTGGCTGCAACTGGGGACTGTGGAAAGAGGGAACGGTCACACGCTGGCCCCATCCTGCCCTTCCCGCTCCCTCCTCCCTCGCTTCCTTCCTTCCCCTTTTCTTTGCAACCAAGCCTCAAGTTCCCCTTGAGGTGCAGAACCCACCTGGCCTGGTGTCGCTTTCTGGAATTATCCAGAGCTCCTTAATCCCACCCTTAATCCCGCTCAACCCAAAGCCGATTAGACACGCCTCGACACCCCGGGGTCGGGCTGACCCTCCCTAAGGGCTTTCCTCCCAAGGCTTTGGAGTACTCGAGGCTCACCAGCAATTCCGGGGTGTTCACATCCACGGGATCCATCACCTCGAAGCGTTTCTTGACCTGCTGGGTGGGGCAGGCAGGGCGCTCCAGGGATGCCTTCACCCAGTAATCCACGCAGCCGTACTTCCCCTTGAACGTGGTGCCCAGCGGCCTGCAGGCACACAGGGGGTCACTCCAGCGCCCAAACAGGGATTTTCCAATTTAATTCCACCCCCAGAGGCAGATGCTGCCTCATACTCACCCCTGGGGCAGCTCGAAGCCGAACTTGTACTCGTACTTGTTCCCAGGTCTCAGGATGACGGAGCCGTCGTCATCTGTGGGAGAAAAGGGGAAGGAAACATCAGACGGAGCTCCAGGGTGATCCTCGGTTCCGCTTTCAGTGGTGACGGAACCAGAGGTGTTGAGTAACACCTGCCCCCACCCTGGGAACCCTGTGTCCTCTCAGTGCTGCTCCCTTCGCCTCACCAACACCCTGCGGGGCAGAACACTGCGTCCCGCTGGCCCCACCCCACCCTCAGCTCCTCCTTATCTCCCAGCTCCAGCTGTCCCTCCTGGTTATCTTTTGGACACTCTCCCAGTCCCCCTCTCCGTGCTCGGAGGAGGCTCCTTTCTGGGGTGTGATCCCTATGCCCCTCCTTGTGTCCTGTCGCCAGCCCCTGCTTGTGGTGCCAGGACACACCACGGCAGCTCCCCAGCCTCTGATTTTGTCCCTCAGCTCCCCAACTTCGACTTGACTTGGCCAAACCCTCGGAAGTTCCTAAGTTGCGCTGGGTTTGGTCATTTCTCCCAGGCTCAAGGCACAACATCAACTCCGTGTCGGCGACCAAGTGACCCACCACAGCCCCCATGGTGCCAACCCCAGGGGCATCCGAGGCTCTTTGCCCCCTCCCAACCCATCTGCCCTCGATCCAGCCCCACCGCAGCCCCCCATGGGGCCAAGCCCAGGGGCACGGTTGGGTTGGGGGTACCCGTCCAGCCCCGTGCCCTCACCCGTGGGCTGCTCCTCCAGTGCCAGCACGTCCTCGAAGCGCAGGTACTCCATCTCCTGCCGGCACTGGGCCGGGCCCTTGGCCCAGGTCACTTTGGCCACCCCACACGCCAACACCTTGACGGCGTTGACGCGGGTCACCTCGGCCACCTCAACGACCACGCGCCCGGCCACCTTGTCCCCGCTGCAGTAGATCTTGTCGGGCTCGCTGAAGAGCACCGCGAAGCTCTTCACCTTCTTGAACATCACCATGGCTGGGGCAGCGTGGGGACGCAAAAAGCAAAGCTTGTGGGGCTTTATCACCCTCGGAGCAAGAAAACCCGCCCGGAACCAGGCAAGTCGCAGGCACAAAGGTCGGTTGGACGGACGCTTTGTTTTGAGGCGAGGGGAGAGGTTTTCAGAAGTTGCTCCGCGCCGAGAGCGTCCTCGCCTGCCGCTCCCCTCAGCGCTGTGCGCTCAGCTCCGGCCGCCGCGCTTTTTATAGGCTCGGGATCCCCGCCCACTCCCCCGCCCGCGCCTGTTGCTGCCGGGGCGCCACGCCGAGGGCGCGTGGCCAGGCGAGCTGCTCGCGTGATCAGCGCGCCCATTGGCTGCCGCCGCGTTGTTTACAACGGCGCCGGCCAATCAGAGCGGCGCGAGCGGAGCGTGGACAGCGTGTGAAGGAGAGGCGCGCGTGGTCAATGAGGAGGATGGGGGGGCGGGAGCCGGCCGGGGCTGAGTGACAGGGCAGAGGGCCAATGGCGAGCGAGGACGGGCGGCGGCGGTGGCCAATGGCGAGAGCGGAACAGAATGTCATGTTCCCAAGCGCCGGGACGGGGGGGGGGGGGGGGGTGGGGGGTTGGGTGGGTGGGGTGGGGTGGGGGGGGGGGGGGGGGGTGGGTTTGGGGGGGGTGGGGGGGGGGGGTGGGTGGGGGTGGGTGGGTGGTGTGTTGGGGGTTGGTGGGTGTGGGGGGTGGGGGTGGGTGGGGTGGGGGGGGGTGGGTGTGGGTTGGGGTTGGGTGGGGGTGGTGTTTTGTTTGGGGTTTTGTGGTGGGGGGGGGGTGGCGTGTTGGGTGGGGGGGGGGGGGTGACGGGGGGGGAGCGTCGGCCCCAGTTTGGGACGGGCCGCGCTGTACTGGGACAACGGGGGACGGCCGGGCCGGCCCTGGGGGTCATCGGTGGGGTCACCTCCTTCCTCAGTTTCCCCCTCCCCACTCAGGGCAGCCTGCCCCCCCCCTCCCCGAAGCCCCCACGGAGCCCCCCACCCCCCGTTATTTGGGGTAAATAAGGGTGGATTCGGGGTACAGGATAGAACCAGGTCCTGGGGTGCTCCCTCAGTCCCTGGGAGGGGGGGTAGGGAGGTATTTGCCCCCCTCTGCCACTTCCCAGAGCCCCCCCAGCCTCCCCTCGGCCGTCTCTGGGGTACCCCACTCTTCCTTATTTGGGGTAAACAAGGGTGGATTTGGGGTACGGGATCGAACCTGACCCCGGGGAGCTCCCTGAATCCCTCTGGGGGGGATTTCCCCCCCTCTGCCACTTTCCATAGCCCCCCTGGACTGCTCTCAACTGATTCTGAGGGGTTCCCTCGGCCCCCCCCGTTCTACTCCCACCCCTGCCCACTCCCCCCATTATTTGAGGTAAATGAGGGTGGATTTGGGGGTTCAGGATTAAATCCTTCCCTCCTTCTGGGGTGTGTGTGTGTGTGTGTAGGTTCCACCATCTCTGCTAATTCCCACCCTGTTTAGGAACCCTTCCCACTCCATCTTCCCCAAAATATCCCTCCCAAACCTTGATCCAAGGGGCAGCAAACACCCACATCCACCCCATAAACCGTGACCCCCTTTTCCAGCCGGGATTTGGGGAGTGGAACAGTGTTTAACCCCCCCCCACAGGAGACTTTGGCCTCCGAGAAACCCTCAGATTTCACTCCCTGGCTCAGGGCGGTGGCTCTTTCCCCTCTTTTCCCGACCCTCAGTGCTTTCCCAGCTCAGGAAAGTGCTGGGAGCAGAGGAAACGGGAGAACAATGTTCATGGAGCCACCCAGCACCGGAGGAATGGAAATGGGGGCTCCCGGTGCTTCCCACCCCGGTGGGGAACAGGGAGGTGCTTTTGTCGGGAGTTGTCCTTCAGAGGTTGTTTGTCCGAGTGTTCCTGGCGCTTTTCCTGCCCTTCCATCCCCTCCTTCCCCCGGAGTTAATTCACACCTGATCGTATAAACCGATAAAGCACCGGATAAACCGTGGGGCATAAACTGCTCTCCTGCCAAACCGCAGGACAGAATTCCTCCTTGGGAGGGAATTATTCCGTGGTTTGGTGCGGAATGGAGGAATTGCACCTTTTTCCTCCTGTCCCCCTTGTCTCCCGCTGGGGAAAAAAAAGCGCTGGATTAACGGAGAACTAAGGATTTGCTCTAATTTGGCAAAAGGTGGGGAGGTTTTTTTAGCCTTGCCAGCCGTGGGATATTTGACCCCTTGGATCGGTGTTCCCGTCGGAGCCGCGTTTACGCTCTCGCTCTCCAGTTCCCGTGGGTGTCCACCTTCCCAAGGGAACCGACCTTGGGCTGCTCGGACACATTCCAGCAAAGCCAAAGGGCCTCGAAGCCCAATGCCAAGGAAATTGCCAAGGATATGATCCAAGGCACGTTCCACATCCCAAATCCTCTCCGAATTCCTCCAGACCTGTCAGTCAGCGCTGACCTTTCCCCCCCTAACCCCCATCCGATGGCAAGCCCTCCCTCCTCCCTGCTGTTGCTGGAATTCCCTTGCTCAGGAGAAGGGGCTCAGGTTTGCTCCAGGAGGTTTTCCTGCGCCGGCAGCACCCCTGGATGGATCTGGGGAGGTCGGGAACGCCGCAGGATTTTTGCTCGTAAAAAGCCACATTTCCCAATGTCCTTCAAAAACAGGGGAATCAGGAGGGGAAACCACCAGGAATTCTGGGCGAGGACAACCTCCTGCTCCCACTAAACTGCTGTTTAAGGCATTCACCCCCCTCCCAGCTGCTTTCCCACAGTGCTTGGAGGATCCCCCACTGCTGAGGGGGAGTGGATGGGGAGAGCAATTGGATCCGTGGCTTTTTCCCAGAGTTCCTGGCCGGGGGCGAGAAATGGCCAGGCCGGTGCGACTAACACTTTTTCCCAGGCATAACCCACTTCCAAAGCCACGGAGCGAGAAACTGGGGCCCTGAGGTGACTCACTGGGCTCTGGGTGGGTCCCGGGGAAGGAACTGGGCATGGCACAGACTTGTTTTCGCCCGGCACAGCGCCCGGCGCTGATAAGATCCGTGTTTTTCTGCTCCAGGTCACTGGGATCGGTTGCCAGGAGAAGCCACTCTGTTCCCGTGACAGCCTGGCCTTTGTCCCGGCTGTTGGACAACCGGCACAGAGCCGGGATTGCCGGCGAGCCGGGGGGCACCGACAGCCCCGCAGCCTCTCCGGGCTGTTTGCTCCGTGGTTTTCACCATATATGGTCCCTTCCAGCAAATTCCCGGCCGGGAGGGGCAGAGAGGGCTGGGAAGGGATCCACAGGGGCTGGAGCGTGGGGACAGAGTGTCCCGGGTGTGCGGTCGGGAGCTGGGGTGGAAAAGGCATTTCCTCCAGTTGTTTGTGTGCAGGGAACATTGGGAACAGCTCCCAGCTGCAAAACGAGGGACTGTGGGACTGGGATGGCTCCTGGAAAGCCACTGCTTGTCCCACGGCCAGGATTTCCAGGATTGGAGGCTCCGGGTTGGTTCCTAAACCACAGCAGCGGGTTGGGGGTGGAGGGGAAGGTCTGTAGGGCTTGGCTGGAGGCAGGGAACACTCAGTTCTGCGGGATCACTGGGACACAGAGGTTTGACACTCATCTGGAATCTTCCAGGAGCGACTGGGAAAGCTCCTGGGGCAGATCCTCACTGGGGATTCCCCAAAAATCCCCTTTTTTTGCTGTTTTATCCCCGGCAGAGGCTTGTACCCCCCCCCCCCCCCCCCCCCCCGTGTTTGAGATTCTCCAGGCACACAGATCAGGGTCCCCTTTCCCCCTCCCCTGAGTGGGGACAAGTCCTCTCAGGGCTTGGGCAGGAAGATTTTCCCCCTGGAGCCCCACTTTTCCAGCTCCTACTGGAGACCGGGATGCGGACGCTCCCGCTGCACAGCACTTCTTTTTCCAGGTGGGATTTCTCCCCTTCTTTCATGCCCAGACGGTGTTTTTGGAGCAGAAAGCCCGAGATAAGGCTCCACAAGAGCTCAGCCATCCATAAACAGGGAGGAATTCCGATTCGGGGTCTGGAAAGTCCCGTGTTTGTCATCTGCTCAGGGCAGGAAGAGGCGGTGACATCAGCTCTGCTCCGGCGGGAGGATGTGACCTCCCCCAGCTCCCAGCAGAGCCTCCACAGGCACGTTAGGTGGGATTTTGGGGAGAAATTCTTCCCTGTGAGGGTGCTGAGGCCCTGGCACAGGTTTTCCAGGGAATTTGTGTCTGCCCCATCCCTGGAAGTGTTCAAGGCGAGGTTGGATGGGGCTCGGAGCCCAGCTGGGAGAGTGGAAGGTGTCCCTGCCATGAATGAGATTGTCTTTAAGGTCTTTTCCTGCCCCAAACCAGTCTGGAATTCTGTGATTCCTGGTTGTTTGGGGTGAGGGTGGATACATCCCGTGGCTCTGGAGCTCTGAGGGTGCTGGAGCCCTCCCCGTGCACTGGCTGCTGTGGACACCTAGAGGCTTTCCCAGGAACGGCAGAGGAGGATTTCCTTCCATCCATCCATCCATCCATCCATCCATCCATCCATCCATCCATCCATCCTTCCATCCATCCATCCTTCCATCCATCCATCCATCCATCCATCCATCCATCCATCCATCCATCCATCCATCCATCCATCCTTCCATCCATCCATCCTTCCATCCGTCCATCCATCCATCCATCCATCCATCCGTCCATCCATCCCTTCCATCCATCCATCCATCCATCCATCCATCCATCCTTCCATCCATCCATCCATCCATCCATCCATCCATCCATCCATCCATCCTTCCATCCATCCATCCATCCATCCATCTGTCTGCCCGCCCACCCACCCCTGGGTGACACAGAGGGACAACAACAACAAAAAAAAGGGTGACAAAGCTCTCTTGGAACCCCTTCAGGCACTGGATGACGCTTGGAGGTCTCTCCAGAGCCTTCTCTTCCCCGGGCCGGATGCCACGACTCTCCCTCGCAGCCTCGGAGCAGCTTTGGCTGCTGAAAAGTGGGAAAATTTCCGTATTCCTTTGCTGCTGGGAGCTCTCCTGGCCGTGAGCAGCCCTGGGGAGGAGAACCACGTGTGTTCTGAGTTGTGGACACTCCGTGGGGGCTCAAACCTGCGCCGTGGCCTGGCGGGGGTCCAGCCACTCCGGGGGAACGTGCCGAGCGTGGGATGGGCCCGGCCCATTCCCCGGATGATTCCATGCTCCTCCTCGGTGTGACGGGGACGTGAGGCCTCCCAGGGATGCCCTGAAGCAGAGGACAGACCTTTCCCCCCGCCGGGAATAAAGGAGCGGAACGCCGGCGCCGATCCCAGCTGTTGACGCCGACGAGCGCGTTTCCATTGACGTCAGCGGACTTTGGAGCGACCCTTCGCCTTCCCAGCCCGGTGCCACCTCCCAAAAACAACCCCAGCGACCCCGTCCAGCTCCGGTGCGAGCCCAGGTCGGATTGTTCCGCAGCCAGGCGCCCAACCTGGGTGGCTGGAGCTGGGGGGGGTCGGGGCCTTCTCCCGGGAGTCGGGACCAGAGGGGAGGTCTAGGTTGGATATTTGGGGGAATGTCTTCATGGAAAGGGTGTTCAGGCCCTGGAACAGGGCAGTGTCCCTGGGTGTGCTCAACAAGTGGACCTGGCACCTGGGGACGTGGGTCGGCGGTGGCCTTGGCTGGGGGACAGTTAATGATTAATGATCTCAGAGGCTTCTCCAACCTTAATGATTCCTTAATGATTCCTTAACTCATCCACAACTGCTCCTGGGTGTCACAGCCCGGCCCAGCTGGGCAGCTCCTGGTGTGACACTGGCTCAGCTGCCGAGCCTCAAACCTGCAACCAGAGCTCTCTGGCTCGGGGGCAGCTCTTCAGAATCCCGGGACATTTTCAGTCTGGGAGCTCTGGGCTCCAAATTTTGGAGGTGGGATCCTGAGAGAGATCCCATCTGAGATCCAGGAAAGCGCCAGGCCCCGGAGCTGGCGGTGCAGGCGATGGGCTGCCAGGGGGAAGGAGAGTCCAGTTCCATTGGGAACCCTCCTTTCCCCTGTGGAATCCTTGTTGATTGGCTCCACTGACCACCAGCTCAAGGGTAATTATGTCCTGCCCCATCAAATCAAACGTCAGGCCTGAGCTGGCAAAAAGCTGCTGTTCCACACCCTGGAAGGGGCTGAATTGATTTTTATTTATTTCATTGATTTTGATCTAAATTTGTACCTATACATTTATTTTTTTTGGTATAAAAATCCATTCTTTCTTTTAATATTCCTGGATGGGGCCAGTCCCATCTCTACCAGGAGCTCCAGCACTCTCAACCCTGCTCTGGAGGATTTTCTCCCTTCAGAGGATCTTATTCCCATGAAGGATTTTCTCCCCATGGAGCGCTGCAAGGCTCTTCCTGCAGCTCCACGGGGACAGGGATGGCCAAGTTTTTAATCCTTTGTTAAAAATAAAGGGAAGTCTTTCCTATGGAAAACATTTCTCCTTTAGAATTCCGACTGCTTTACTGAAATCCTCTGAAACATGTGAAATTCTCCCTCCCCTCTGCAGTCCTGCACCTTCCCCGGGGGGTTCCCCTGCCCATCCGTGTGCCCAGCTGGCCCTTTGCCATCAGGAATTCTGTTTTCCAAGCGAAACCCCCAATTTGGGTTGGATTTGAGGAGCGGCAGAGAATCTGGGCCCAAGGGAGAGAGATTCCCAAGGGGTGGTTTTTCCCCTCCCTGAAACCTGATGCTGGTCCCGAGTCCAGACCCGGCTAAATCAAGTCTGCAACAGGTGCCAAGACAACAAGGAAAAATAGCAACAGTGGCCTGGGAGATCCGAGGCCTGATGCTCCACAGCTCCCACTGGTGGAGATCAGCCTGCTGTTGATCCTGGAAGAGGAGGGGATGGACAAAACTGGTTCCCCCCTCGGTCACAACGCTCCCAAAACCGACTCATGGCCTTGCTCTGCTTCGGGGTGAAGGGTCCCAAATCCATCAAACTGCTAAAAACTGGGATTTGGGCTTTGGGTCCGTTATTTCTGGATTTGTAGGGCCCCTGAATGAAATTCTGCTGGATTAACACCAGGAGAAAGACGGGAAGTGAGTTATGGGAAGGCTCTGAGGGGCAGAGGGGGTTTCTAACCCTGGGTGTTTATTTTGCCGCAACGTCACATCCTTAGGGAAAAAGGAACACGTGAGAATCGAACCGAAAAACTGGGATGTGCCTTGAGGAGAGGAGCTGGGATCAGCTGGCACCACCCATGCGAGAGCAGTGAGTGCAAACCGGGGGGTCACCTCTCCCCTTTCCCGTGGTCCAGGCCTCCAATTCCTTTCAGCTGCGGAGATCCCTGATCCAAGGTGAGGCGTCTTTCCCGGTCGCAGCCACGGATCCGGAGCCAGCCGCTCTCCCGGGTCCCACAGGGAGCGGGCAGGGGGTTAAAAGTGCAACAAAACCACCCAAAGAGCAGAGCTGAGGAGGAGGAGGAGGAGGAGGGGGGACGAGGACACGCGCGGGCAGCTCGCCCCGGCCTGGAAGATGTGGAGCTTCTCGGCGTCGGGCAGGAAGAGCCGGGCGTCCTCCAGCGCGCCGCGGGCCGCCATGGTGAAGTTGGCGTCGCCCGAGGTCACCACGTCGAAGACGCACGACTGGAAGTAGACGTCCTCCACCGGCAGCATCTCCCGGCACAGCGCCCGCGCCGTGTCGGCCGGCACGCGCCCGCGCCCGCGGGGGCTGCGGGACAGGCGCTGGCTGCGGGGGCAGCCGCCCACGCACAGCTGCAGGTCCTGCTCCTCCGTGAAGGCCCGGGCCACCTCCTCGGCGGCGCGGATGGAGAAGGAGAGCTGGCGGCCGGCCTGGCGCACGGCGATGGTGGTGCCGATGTAGGCGGCGCGGATCTCCACGTGCCGCCCCGGCGCGCGCTCGCGGATGGCCAGGCTGCTCCCGCCCGGCCGCGCGCCCCCGTTCACCGAGCCGTCCTGGAAGGCCGCCGGGACGTTGTCCAGCTCGGCCTGGTAGACCTTCTGGTCGATGCATTCCTTCATGTTCTTGAATATGATGGTGAGCTGCGGGGAGCGGGGCGGGAGGGAGGTGAGCGCGGCGGCCGCGTCCCCATCCCAAGGTGTCCGGGGTATCCCAGGATACGCGTCCACCCCACCCCACTGATCCACCCCCGAACCATCCCTCCCACGGTTCTTTTGGGATAACGACGATCTTTCCTTTCCCTCTTTTTTTAGCACCATTTAAGCAACAGAAAATGGAGACGGAGCCAAACCCGGCAAGATCCTTCTGGGTACCCTACGGACTGTGTCGTCACCCCATGACAATGGGAGCATTTGAGGGTCCCCTTGACAGCCTCCATCCCTCTCCTTCCTCCTTCCTCGCTCTCCCTGGGTCTCGCCAAAGCAACTCCTGCCCTCCCCAGGTATTTCAGGGAGCCCTGCCCCCAGATTTGCCGCCCAGCCCCATCGCAGCAGCGTTACCTTGCTGGTGACCGTCGCGTTGGACCCCTTGGCCACCGGCGAGCTGGTGGCCTGCACGAACAGGTAGTCGTTGTCCAGGAGCGGCCAGGAGCCCTCCACCCGGCACGTGTGGAAGTCGTGGTGGAAGGTGCGGATGTGGGGGTCCCCGAAGGCGGCGCAGTGCTGGAAGGCGGGCGGGCGGCCGTGCTTGTAGAGGAAGCTGCGCTCGTAGTCGCAGACGTCGAGCGACTCGAAGCCCTGGCGCTCGGGGGCGGGCGGCCGGGGCCGGGGCGGCGCCGTGGGCCCTTCCTTGGAGCAGTTGTTCTGGATCATGAGGTCCTCGATGCCGTGCACGGCCGAGTGGAAGGCCAGGTCGCCGCGGCACGTGCGGGCGGTGCGGCGGGTGCAGCGGGAGTAGGAGCGGAGCGCGGTGCAGAACGCGGCGCCCCGGCCGGGGCCGCGCAGGGGCAGCGTCGCCGCCACGTACTCCGAGTTGCAGCGCAGGATCTTGCACTGGGAAGAGACTGGGGAGAAGGGACGGGTTGGGCAAGGGCGGCCCCTGCTCCTCCCACCGCGTCGCACCGTCCAGACTGCTCCAGATTCCCAGGGAGACCCTTCCTGGAAGGACTTGTCTCCCTGTTCCAACCCACTCCAGATTCCCATGGAAACCCTTCTTGTCTCCCTGTTCTAACCCACTCCAGATTCCCATGGAAACCCTTCCTGGAAGGTCTTGTCTCCCTGTTCTAACCCACTCCAGACTCCCATGGAGACCCTTCCTGGAAGGAATTGTCTCCTGGTGCAGGGCTCGGTCCCTGGGATGAATTTGGATCCCCCAGGGTGAAGAGCTCAGTCCTTGGCGTGAATTTGTGTCCCCTGGGATGCAGGGTTCAGTCCCTGGGATGAATCTGTGTCCCCTGGGATGCAGGGTTTGGTTCCTAGGATGAATTTGCATCCCCTGGGATGCAGGGCTCGGTCCCTGGGATGAATTTGGATCCCCTGGAATGCAGGGCTCAGTCCCTGGGATGAACCTGCCCGTGTGGATCCTTACCATGCCTGCAGAGGAGGAGGAGGAGGAGCGTGCGGAGGAAGAGGCCGGGGTTTTCCAGCTGTCCCGGGCTCCTACTGCCGGCAGGTCTCCCCATTCCCATCCATGCGGAGACCGGGGGGTCCCTCACCCACCGGCAGCTCCCGGCGTCATCCGGCAGCTCCCCTGGAAGTGGAGCAGAGGTGGGATCAGAGAGGGCTCTGCAGCTGCCACCGAGTCCAACCCAGCACTTCCAGGGCCACCAACTTGTCCCCAGGTGCCACATCCACACAGCTTTGAACACTTCCAGGGCTGGGACTGCACCGCTGCCCCGTGCATCCCACGCCAGGGCCTGACCACCCTTTCCATGAGGAAACTTTCCCTGATATCCAACCTAAACCTCCTGAGATGCAGCTTGAGGTGTTTTCTCGGGGTGTGGGTGCTGGGCACCCTAATCCTCCCTCAGTCTGGGGACGCCACACGTGTGACTGGAGCACCCCTGGGTGCCAGCACCGTGTCCTGCTCGTCGGACCCTCATTCCCACTTTCCCGCTGCCCCCCTCACCTGCGTCAGCCTCCTCAGGAAACCATCCAGCTCCCGGCACCCAGAGCTCCTTCCCTGCGGGACACATGGGCGTCCTTGTCACCAGCTCTGCCCCAAGAGACAGCTGGAAAGCTCCGTGGGATGACCCGGGAAAATTCCAGCCTCCCTGGGCTCTTCCATGGCCTCGGAGCCGGATAAAATCCGGGGTTCTGGACGCCTGTGCCGGGGGTGGGGAGCAGAGCCCCCCATGCAGCACCGTGCTCCCCTTTCTCCTCCCCGGCCACCTTTGCTCCGTCCTTTCCCCCGCGGGGCAGAGGCGGGGGATGACATCGATCCTCCTAAATTTAGCCGGGCTCAGATCCAGCTGGGAATGACAGCCGGAGCGGCAGAGGGAGCAGGAGCGCCGGGCTGGGGGGGTGGGGGGGGGGCACAGGAGCTTCAGGAACCCCCAAACCTGGGGGCTGTGGGGTCACGTCCCCCGTGGGAGCTTCCCTGGAGCTCCACGAGTTTCCTTCCTGGAAACCTCCCACCTGCACCCCCAGGAGTGAGTCCCTGTGGAAAAGCATCGTGCTTTTTCCCTGCAGGATGTATCCTCATAGGGAATGGGATGTATCCTGACAGGGAATGGGATGTATCCTGACAGGGAATGGGATGTATCCTCATAGGGAATGGGATGTATCCTCATAGGGAATGGGATGTATGCTCACAGGGAATGGGATGTATCCTGACAGGGAATGGGATGTATCCTCACAGGGAATGGGGTATATCCTCACAGGGAATGGGATGTATCCTAACAGGGAATGGGATGTATCCTCACAGGGAATGGGGTGTATCCTCACAGGGAATGGGATGTATCCCCACAGGGAATGGGATGTATCCTCATAGGGAATGGGATGCATCCTAACAGGGAACGGGATGTATGCTCACAGGGAATGGGATGTATCCTCACAGGGAACGGGATGTATGCTCACAGGGAATGGGATGTATCCCCACAGGGAATGGGATGTATGCTCACAGGGAATGGGATGTATCCTCACAGGGAATGGGATGTATCCCCACAGGGAATGGGATGTATGCTCACAGGGAATGCTTTTCCAGTATTTTCTCTCACAGCTTCCCCTCCTGGGGCCCAGCCAGGTCCTGAACACAAACACGGCCCGGGCAAAGGTGGCCGATGTCCCCAGGGGTCGGTGACCGCTCGGCCACGCCGGCTGCATTCCCAAAATCCCACCTGCGTGGGTGCAGCAAGGAGCTGCACCAGCCCCTGTTTCTGCAGGGAGGAGGAATGGTCAAAAATGTCCACGCCAGCATTTTCCAGGTCCATTTTGGAGGCCATGGGAGAGGACAGGGATGGGAATCCCAGCGCTGGGAGGGACAGTTTGGTCCCTCAGCGCCCCAGCACCCACAAATCCCTTTGGAAATCAAGTTCCTGGTGTTTTCCAGGCCTGGCTCTGCCCAGCAGGGAGCGAAGCCTCGTGCCCACCTGAGCCCAGGAGAGCTGCAGCGCTGGGATTGGGGTGGGAAGGGAAGTATTTGGGGGAAACAGGATTTGCCAAAGAGCTGGAAGAGGGGATACCAGGTTGGGCCATGCGTACAGTCAATCCCAAAGGATCCACTCTTCCTTCCACACCGTGCTTGGCATAAATCCCATCCCTCCATCCCCAGCACCTCCCAGTGCTTCACTTACCCCAGCAAATGCCACGGGATGGGCACCAAATCCCCCCGGACCCTCTGGAGGCGAATCCTGGTCCCTGGCCTGGGTCTGGCTCCGGGTGGGAATGAGGAGGGAATCCCGGCTGTTGCCGCCCGGGCTGGGAGCGGAGGGAGCAGCAAACAGCTGAAGGATCTGACAGCCGGATCCGTCCCCGGGAGCGGGAGCCGAGGGGGCTCCAGCGGCGCTTTATAAATAGCCAGGAGGATTTTTGATCCCGAAAGGCGGATTCCAGTGGGGAGGGGAAGGGAGAAGGCGGGGAGGGCCCCAGACTTCCCAACCGCACGCACGAGCGGCGGGTGAGGTGGACACGGAGTCCTGGATGGGCCACTCGGAGCTGCCCATCCTGAGGTTTCCCCAGGCTTCACTGGGAAGAACAAGCAGGGTGGGAATGCTGGAAATCCAAGGAGGCTCCCAGTCCAGCAGCACCTGCCTCCTGGAGCATGGGAGCACCTGGCCTGGGCACCCTGGCAGGGGGAGCATTCCCTGGCTCTGCAAGCAGGGAGATGGGAAAACCCGTGGAGATGAGAGTGGTGTGGAGTGCTGCTTTTCCTCCAGGATTCTCCATTCCAGAGCTTCCTCTCTCCCTCCCTCGGGGAGCTCAGAAGGTCCTGGAGATGTGACAAATGTCAGGAGAAGCGGGTATCTCATTCCTACACCTGGAGAAAGAAGACCTTGAGAGGGTCAGGGAAGGAATCACCTGGCTCGAAGCTTCAACCCAAATCCCACAGGATCCCACAGCTCCGAGCTGCTCCCAGGATGCTAACATGTGGATAAATCCCATTCCCAGGCACCTGCTCCGGGGCAGGGCAGCTGGGGGCTAAAAAAATCTGTGAGCAGATGGGTGTGGATGCTCCGGAGCTCTGCAGAGGGACCTCGAGGGGTCCCTGCCCTGTGCAGTGACACTGCGGGGTGGTGGCAGCGTCCGGCCACTAATCCCATGGGACACTGGGATCACCAGCAGCCTCCCCTGCCCCAGTTTCCCCATCAGTGGGAGAGGAAGGTCCAGGCTCTGTGTGGCTTCGATGTGGGGTGTCACTGGGTGCCACGGACCCCCATCCGGGGGGTGTCACTGGGTGCCACAGACCCCCATCCCCCCATCCCCTCTATGCCCCCTGTATTTCTTGTGCCCCCTGTACCCACCCACGCCCTCTGTACCCCCTGTAGCTCCTTGTACCCCCCATCCCCACCAAACCCCTGTACCCCCCATCCCCACCAAACCCCTGTACCCCCCATCCCCACCAAACCCTTGTACCCCCCATCCCCACCAAACCCCTGTACCTTATGCACCCCCGCCATAGTCCCTGTACTCTCTGCACCCCTTTCACCCCTGCACCCCCCGCATCCCCCATACCCACAGCACCCCTTGAAGCCCCAGGAGCGCTTGTACCCCTCTGCACCCTCATGTTCCCTCGTGTCCCCCCGTATCCCCCCATGTCCCCCCGTATCCCCCCGTGTCCCCCCGTGTCCCGCCCTGTCCCCGCCCCCCCACACCATATAAGGACGAGGGAGGGGCGTGGTTTTTCATGTGGGCGTGGTTTTCGGGGCTGGGGGCGTGGTCTGTTCGGCCCGTGGGCGTGGCTGCGGGCTTTGGGTCACGTGACGCGCCGGTGTCACGTGACGGCGGTGGGGAGATCCCGGGCGGCGTGAGCGGAACGAGCGGTGAGGGGGGGGCGGGAACGGGGGGGGCCCGGGGGGAGATCGGGGGGTCCGTGAGGGTCCTGCGAGGGGTCCCGAGCGGGATCGGGGGGCGGAGGGGCGGCCGGGGTGGGTTCCGGGTGGGCCGGGGGGCTCCGGGTGCACCCCTGGCTTGGGGGGGCGGAGGGGGGGGGGGGGATCAGGCCCTTCTCCCCCCCGCGCCCCTGCCCAGCTCCGAGCCCGACACCTCCCCGGGACACCCCCTCCCCAAACGCACCCCGTCCCCAAACTCCCCCCCTCGTGCTGCTCCACGTGCCCTCCCCCCATTTTAGGGGTGGGTTCCTTCAGAGCCCCCCCCCGACTCACCCCCCTGTCCCCCGACTGTCACCCCCCTGTCCCCCGACCGTCACCCCCGTGTCCCCCCGCTATCACCCCCCCTCCTCCCTGTCAGCCCCCCCCAACCGCCCCCCCCTCTCTCTCGCAGCCCCTCTCCGATGCGGGGTCCCCTCCTGGCGGCCGCGGGGGGGGCCATGGGTGGCCCGGGGGGACCCCTGGCCCGGGCCATCCGCGACAAGCTGACGGCGGCCCTGCAGCCCACCCACCTGGAGGTGCGGGACGACTCCCCCCGCCACGGGGGCCCCCCCGGCGCCGAGACGCATTTCGGGGTGCTGGTGGTGAGCGGGCGCTTCGCGGGGCTCCCCCCGCTCCAGCGGCACCGCCTGGTGCACGAGGCGCTGCGGGACGAGCTGGCCGGGCCCCTGCACGCCCTGCAGATCGTCGCCCGCACCCCCGAGCAGTGGCAGAGCGACCCCCGGGCCCCCCCGGCGCCCCCCTGCCTGGGGGGCTCCAAGCGGGACAAGGAGAAGAAGAAGAAGGAGGAGGAGGAGGAGGAGGCGGCCGGGCAGCAGTGACAGCAACGCGGGGAGGGGCGGCCAGAACCCACCCTGGTGTCAGCGTGGGACCCCCAGGACTCCCACCCTGGTGTCAGTGCAGCAGGAGGGGGGGGGCAGAACTATGGGGCTGATCTCCCCCCCCCATCATCTTCAGCCCCCCCATATCACACTCAACCCCCCCCACATCACCCCTGGTCCCCCCACAGGCCCCCCCCCCCACTCCCTCCCCCTCTCCCCACTCCCACCCTTGACAGGGGGGATTTTTGGGGTGTCCCTCCCCATTTAATTTAATTTCCAAGTGCATTCACCCTCCCGCCGCCCCAAAACCAAATAAACGTGTTCTTTTGAAGGGAGGGGCGTGAGGGCAGCTCAGAGTCCAGCAAATCCTTTGGGGGAGCATTTTTGAGGTCATTTTGTGCTTTTTTTGGGGTGGGTTTGGTTGTTGTTTTTTTTCTTTTCCATTTTAATTAATTTACAAACACCTGAAACTACAGCACGGCACGACAGAGCTACGGGGGGGGCCCGGGGGGGCCCCAAGGACCAGCTACACCGAGGGGGGGACGAAGCACACGGGGGGGGGGGCTGCTCGGAACAGGGGGGGGCTGCCCTGGGAAGGGGGGGCTCTGGGGGGCTCTGACCGACCCTAGGGGGTTGATCTGGGGGGGAGGCACAGCATTGGGGACCCCCTGAACCCCGATTTCTTTTAGGAGGGGGGCACAGCACTGGGAACCCACCCTGAACCCCGATTTTTTTTGGGGGGGGGGTGTGAGGGGGTGTTTGTGCTTTGCAAACCGCTGGTGGTTCTGGGCTGGGGGGAGGGGGAAAGGGGGGGTAAAAAGGGGTGGGGTGGGGGGTTAAAAGAGGGTGTAGGGAGATGTGGGGGTGCAGGAAGGGAAACAGGGCTGGGAGGAGGGAAAAGGGGGTGCAAGGAGCTCCCCTCACCCACACCTCCCTCCCCCCAGAGAGAAAAATCCTTTAAAAATCAGTTAAAAAATTACGAACTGGCAGTTTTGGGGTTCCCCCCACTGGATCCCAAAATGACACCAAGGACTAGGGGTTGTGGCCAGGGGGGGACTGTGCTTTGCATCCTAAAAATTGGGCACCCCAAAGCGGGGGCACCCCCGGAGGGGGGGGGAGGGTGTGTGCTTTAACCCTAGAAATGTTGGGCACCCCCGGGGGGGGGAATCTGCACCCCAAATTGCTGCACAACCCCCCCCAAAAGGACCTGCACCCCAATATCCTGTGCCCCCTCCCTCCGGGGCACCCCAAGGCTTCTTGCACCTCAAAAGGCCACCCACCCCCCTCTCCCAGGGGACCCCCCCCAAAAAATCCTTGTGAGGACCTTGCTGGGTGCTCTCCCTGGGGATGGGGAACCTCAGAGCCTTCATCCTCCTCCTCCTCGGCTCAGCGGGGATTCGGGGGGTGCACAGGGCCTGTGTGTCCCCCCCTCCCCGAGGCTGGGGCCCCCCCAAACCCCACAGCCCCCCCAGGAACGAGCAGCAACTCACAGAGGGGGTGACACCGAGAAAAGAAATGGGGGGGGGGGGGGCTCAGAGGGGTTTGGGGGTTCGGGGGGGAGCTTGGGTGGTCAGGAGTGGGTTTGGGGGGTCTCGGGGGGAGATTTTGGGGTGTCAGAGGGGTCTGGGGGAGGGGGAAGGGGCCAAGTGCAAATGAAAAAGATCCCAAAATGCTCCAAGAAGACGTTTCACAGTGTCTAACGCGACTAATCCCGGGGGCACGGGGCGGGGGCAGAGCCTGGATTTGGGAGGGGAGGGGATACCCCGGGGAGGAGGAGGAGGAGGAGGAGGGGGCAGGGGGGGGTGTTTCCCTCTCCCCCAGCCCCCCCCCATCACTGCAGGACCTGCCCCCGCGTCTCGGGCAGTTTGAGGGCCAGGGAGCTGCCGAGGGCCAGCGCGGCCGAGGCCAGGAGGATGGGCACGGCCTTGGTGATGCCCACGAAGGAGGTGAAGATGCTGATGCCCAGCACGGCCGCCAGCTTGCACAGCGCGTTCAGGAACCCGAACGCCGTCGTCCTGGGGGGGGCATGGGGGGAATGGAGGGAGGGGGGAGTCGTGTGAGTGGGGGGAACCCCAAAACAGGCACCCGGTGCCCCGAAATGAGCACCCAGTGTCCCGGAATGGGGACTCGGCACCCCCGAGGTTGGCACCCAGTGTCCCTAAATGGGCACCCAGTGTCCTGAAACCAGCACCTGGCACCCAGAACTGGGACTCAGCACCCCGAGATTGGCACCCAGTGTCCCAAAACTGGCACCCAGTGTTCTGAAACCAGCACCTGGCACCCAGAACTGGGACTCAGCACCCCGAGATTGGCACCCAGTGCCCTAAAACTGGCACCCAGTGCCCCAAAACTGACACCCAGTGTCCTGAAACCAGCACCTGGCACCCCAAACTGGGACCCATAACCCCGAGATTGGCACGTGATGCCCTAAAACTGGCACCCAGTGCCC